TATTTGTGTTTTTGGTTAGAGAACAGGGTTTCTCCATGTGTTGGCCCAGGCCTGGGTCAGCAATTCCTGACTCAGGTGATCTGCGCCCTCGCCTCCCAAAGCTGGCTGGAATTACAGAAGTGAGCCACTGTGGCCTGCTGAGACGTATTTCCTGGTTTTTTTTTTTTTTTTTTTTTTTTTAGACGAGTCTCTTTGTCCCCCAGGCCTGGAGTGCAGTGGCCGCGATCCTCCACTTACTGCAATCTCCCGCTTCCCGGTTCACAACCCATTCTCGCTTCCTCAGCCCTCCCATGTAGCTGGGGACTAACAGCGCCCGCTCACCTACGCGGCTCATTTTTTTTAATGTATTTTTAGTAGATGACGGGGTTTCACCGTGGTTTAGCCAGGATGTCTCCGAGGCTCCTGACCCTCGTGATCCGCCTGTCTCGGCCCTCCCAAAAGTCTGGATAAAGCAATGAGCCACCGCACCCGCGAGAACGTATTCTGATAAAGTTACTCCCTCAGCCGGCCGTCTCAGCTGCACAAGCGTTAGATGTTCTTTTTTTTTTTTTTTTTTGATGCAGAGTCTCGCATCTGTCGCCCAGGCGGAGTGCAGTGGGGCGCGATCCTCCCGCTCATGCAGCTCCGCCCGGGTTCCCCGCATTCTCTGCCTCAGCTCCCCCAGTAGCTGGGACTACAGGCCCCGGCACACGCCCGCTAATCTTTTTGTATTTTTTAGTAAGACGGGTTTCATTGTGTTAGCCGGATGGTCTCGATCTCCTGACCTCGTGATCCGCCCGTCTCGGCCTCCCAAAGTGCTGGGATTACAGGCTTGAGCCACCGCGCCCGGCCTAGATGTTCTTATGGGACTACTGTGACTCTGACTCCGGACTCCTGTCTGGCATTACAGCTCCCCTGCAGAGACATAGCTGTAGGCACAAAGAACACCACATTCCTAGTGAAGTAGGGGTAAATACAGTTGATGAAAACTCAAGCACAGGGCATGGGATGGGCTCAGTGGCATTGATAAGGACACCAACAGACCTCAGACCATCTGCAGTGGACATCAGACACCTGAGCTAGGAAGTCCAAGAAGGGCAGACAATCCCAATACTCCCGGCATGTGGCCCCCATCCAAAGATCTCTAGGTATGTATATGGCCTTCCCTTCCCACTACCTCTTGCCTCCCTGGCTGCCTGGCCCAGCAACCCACTGGTGTGGTCCCTGTCTGACTTAGGGGATGCTGCCAGCTGGACACTGTGAGTGCCGACTGGGGGCTGCCAATACGGACTCCCAGTGGTGTGAAAGTTCTCTAAGGATAGGGAGTTGCCTGGCTGGGTATGTTATTAAACTTTGAATTCCTCGTGGGGTTTAGGCTGGTGCCAGGTATGTGATAAGCACTCATTCATGGTCTCAGAGGCTTAGGACATTTGCACATTAAAAGGAGCCTGCAGAGGCCAGCGCAATGGCTCACACCTGTAATCCCAGCACTTTGGGAGGCTGAAGTGGGTGGATTACATGAGGTCAGGAGTTCGAGACCAGCCTGACCAACATGGAGAAACCCTGTTTCTACTCAAAACACAAAATTAGTCAGGCACAGTGGCACATGCCTGTAATCCCAGCTACTCAGGAGGCTGAGGCAGGAGAATTGCTTGAACCTGGGAGGCGGAGGTTGCGGTGAGCCGAGATCACGCCACTGCACTCCAGCCTGGGCAACGAGAGCAAAACTCCACCTCAGAAAAAAAAAAAAGGGGGGGGAGCCTGCAGAGAGCTCACGGGAATGAATCTCCAAGAGAAAAACGTCTTGCAGCAGGTGGGTGTGTTTGAGAAATACAGGGTGCTTCGTGTTCCTTTTGAGATCGTACTGATGGACACCTGCCCACTCCACCTTTGTGATAAGCAGTCTTGCACTCAAGAGAATTCCTGGGCCAAGGAATGCTGAATGTGGCAGCCCAGCCTGAGTCCGCCCCTTCCTGCAAATCACAGGTCAGCTGGGGGCCTGCACACCAGGCCCACTCTCACCCTTACCTTCACCCCCGGGGTTGCAGAGCAAGGGGCACTGGCCAGGGGTCTGGCTGGAAACAGAGCAGTAAGGGGGTCTCTCCTTTGTAGTCACAAAACTCTCTGCTGGTCAAAACACACAACTCTACAAAATTAAGTGTTTTGTGTGTGTTATAAATATATACATATATATATGCTTACTTTTTTTTTTTTTTTTTAAGGCGGAGTCTCGCTCTTTCACCCAGGCTGGAGTGCAGTGGCCAGATCTCAGCTCACTGCAAGCTCCGCCTCCTGGGTTTACGCCATTCTCCTGCCTCAGCCTCCGGAGTAGCTGGGACTACAGGCGCCCGCCACCTCGCCCGGCTAGTTTTTTGTATTTTTTAGTAGAGACGGGGTTTCACCGTGTTAGCCAGGATGGTCTCAATCTCCTGACCTGGTGATCCGCCCGTGTCGGCCTCCCAAAGTGCTGGGATTACAGGCTTGAGCCACCGCGCCCGGCTATGTATGCTTACTTTTGCATAAAGAAACATTGGGGTATGAGAATGAGGAACAGGAATAGAAAGGACATTTCTAAAGTATACTTCATTGAGGCCGGGCACGGTGGCTCACGCCTATCCCAGCACTTTGGGAGGCCGAGGAGGGTGGATCACCTGAGGTCAGGAGTTTGAAACCAGCCTGGCCAACAATGTGAAACCCTGCCTCTACTAATAATACAAAAATCAGCCAGGCGTAATGGTGCGTGCCTGTAATCACAGCTACTCGGGAGGCTGAGGCAGGAGCCTGGTAGGCAGAGGTTGCAGTGAGCTGAAATCCTGCTACTGTACTGCAGCCTGGGCAACAGAACGAAACCGTGTCTCTAAATAAACAAATAAACAAACCTTATCGGAGGTTTTGAGCTTTGAGCCACGTACTGTTTTTTGTATTCAAAAGTTAAAATTAATTTTTAATTAATTTGGGAAAGAGCATAATTTGGGGTGGGTCATTAGGGAGGGAGGGAGGGTAATTAGCGGATAAGCTGGGATCATGGGGAAAGGAAGAAGCCAGAAGGGGCTCCTGGAGTATTTTTGATTCTGTACAAAATGGAATTTTGGGAAACAACAAAGGACTGCTTAGAAACCAGCTACAGGCTGACCGGGTGCAGTAGCTCAGCCTGTAATTCCAGCACTGTGGGAGGCCGAGGCGGGCGGATTATCTGAGGTCAGGAGTTCGAGACCAGCCTGGCCAACATGGTGAAACCCTGTCTCTACTAAAAACTACAAAAATTAGCTGGACGTGGTGGCAGGTGCCTTAATCCCAGCTACTTGGGAGGCAGAGGTAGGAGAATCGTTTGGACCCGGGAGGTGGAGGTTGCAGTGGGCCAAGATAAAGTCATTGCACTCAAACCTGGGGGACAAAAGCAAGACTTCTCTCAAAAAAAAAAAAAAAAGGCCGGGCGCGGTGGCTCAAACCTGTAATCCCAGCCTTTGGGAGGCCGAGACGGGCCGGATCACAAGGTCAGGAGATCGACGCGACCATCCTGGCTAACACGGTGAAACCCCGTTCTATCACAAAAATACACAAAAAACTAGTAGGGCGCGGTGGCGGGCGCCTGTTCCCAGCTACTCCGGAGGCTACGGCAGGAGAATGCGTAAACCCGGGAGGTGGAGCTGCCAGTGAGCTGAGATCTGGTCACTGCACTCCAGCCTGGGTGACAAGCAAGACTCCGTCTCAAAAAAAAAAAAAAAAAAAAGGAAGGAAAAGAAAAGCCAGCTACAGG